TTGGAAGGGGAAGGGAAAATGGAGGATAAGAAAAGGTTGGTTGATCGATACAAAGTTACAGCTAGATGGGAGGAAGAAGTTCTAGTGTTCTATAGCACTACAGGGTAAATATGGTTAAAAATAATTTACTATATAGTTTCAAAAAGCTAGAAGAGAGGACTTTGAACGTTCACAATACAAAGAAATAAATGTTTGAGGCGATGGGTATGCTAATCACCCTGATTGGATCATTACATGTTGTGTACACATATTGAAAATCACTCTGTATTCCATAAATGTAAAATTATTATGTCAACTAAAAATAAAAGGGTAAGAAATTGAAATATATATGTAATAGTTAAGTGAAAAAAGCCAATTTCAGTAGAATTATATTAATAAAAGTTCAAAGCTTTGCAGAGAAGGGTTACAAACACAGGTGTTTAGGGACACAAACATAGCAGGTGAAATGCAAATAACATCAAAGGAATAATAAACACAAAACTTGAGAGAATAATAACTTCTAGAGAGAAAGAAGAATGTGTGATCAGGCCAAGGTCTATGGAGAATTTCCAAGGCACTAGCATTACTCTTTTTTTTTATACTAGGTAATGGGATGCACGTGTTCATTGTATCATTGTATCACAGTTCCTTGTATTTTACATATTTTTCATGAGTATTATTTTCTAAATGTTTAATATTTAATAAAAACTTTTTTTAAAACAGACATCCAACAGGACAATAAAGAATGGCTTTTTATGGTATCATTATTATAGCTTATCAGCAAAACAATAATTAAAATAATATTTTTAAACAGAATGTAAAATAAAGGAATGATATAGAGTAGGCTCGATTGTTTCTCACCAGTGTAGCACTCCCACAATAACAGGTATTATTGCCCCTCTTACCCTAAGTGAACTAATACAACATATAATGTAATAATGCTATTCTCTTAGCTTGACTAATTATTTTTGCAAAGGTGGAGTCAATATCCTTGACCAAAAGTAATTGCCAATTGAGTGACTGAAAACATTATTTCTGACTGGTTATTCATTCATTCCAATCAATTTGATTTAGAACAAACCAGCAAGGGCCGGGAGAGGGCAGGAAATAAACAGAACAGGTCCCAGACCCTGTGAATGCTCCTTTGAAAACCCTTCTTCACAATCCTCCCCTGCCATGTCAGTGGCCATCACCTTAGGTTCACTTTTAGTGTCCACATCATAGGTTTTCATTTTGGATGCCCCCATCATAGTTTTGTGCTCTTGGGACTACAGGTAAAACAAAACAACCTAAGTGAAACTCAGAACAGGCATCAGTTTTGTAAAAAAAATAGAATAGAGCAAAAAGGAACAGTGACTGGAAAATACAGGAGTGTCTTGCAAAAAGAAAACAAAATGGGGGGAGAACAAAGAAGCCTTTAAAGAAACTAGAATCCACTTGGCATCAGGTCTTGGATGCACCTCTTAGACCATGCTTCAACCCATTGTCTCAGGAAAGGCTATGCTGGAGGCTGTTCTGCTCAAAACATCCTCTGATCCTCCGCTTCAATATTCTTGTTCTTCTCTGGCCTCCCTGGTCTTGACACTTGATTTTTTTGTCTTGCTTTGCCCCTGTGGGTTAAATATTCTTCTAGATTGTCTACCTGGTTTGAGGTTTTCCCTTTGACAGTTCTTCTCAAGTTCTTCTTACACTACCCCTTAGATTATAGAACACAGAAAAATATCAGCTCACCCTCACACCCAACTTGGGCCTGCACACCTGCAGGTTGGGGCTGGCATTCTGGGCTACTGCTTAGGTGGAAAGAGAACTCAGACACTACCTGGAGACTTAAGAACAGCATCTCTCAGAACCACTGGGATGAGCAGAAAAGTCATCTTATTTAAGGAGAAAGGGATATAGTTTTTTTGTTCAAGACATCAAATCCAATGAACAAAGAACTGAGCTGGAGAAGAACCCTGAAAACAGAAGGCACACTAAATTTTATTTTTCTGCAAAGGCATTTGGTCACAAATGGCAAACAGTTAAGTGATACCTGCCCAAATAATCATCTCTCACCGCTCTCCCCTGATATATAAAGACTGAGAAGTATGTTGCCTCTCCCTGGAAAAGACTCTTCAGCCATTCTTAATATTGAAAAAACAAACAACATAACATTTTCAATCTTCAACACCTTTGCTGTAAGGTCCTTTCTTCGAATGAGGAAAACGCACTCCAGATTTTCTGCTGTATTGTACGTCTTGATCATAGTTTAATGATGGGATGTTCTAGTTAGTTGTATGTCTGTTTGTTTCTCCAGCAGACTCTCATTTCGGTGCAGCTGGGGTCATATCTTTTTCACTTTGTATTCCTCACCCTTGCACAGAGTTATTCATCAAACAACGTCTGAATGAGTGAAAATCTGAAAAGGAATCAGATCCCATCTTTTATCTTTACAAATTCATCTGTTTTTACTGACTATGCTGCTACAACCAGAAAACTGAGGCATGGGAAGGGGTCTTCAGAGTGGACTCAAAGAGGCTTGAGAAGGGCTTGCGATTTGGAATAAATTTGAAATAATTTGAGATGTATTTCTAGCTTCCCTTTTAGGCTTTTGTTTACTGGAAACAAGGGGGAAACAGCACTGAAGGAGGTTTTTAGGAGTTTGAGTAGTGACCAGGCAAACGTTTGTCTCCCTTCCAGGAGCTGTGCAGGCTTAACCACTGGCTGGAGGCACTGACATAGTGTTGCTCATTTGTTCTGGTCCTTTCTTGACTACTCTCTAATTCTAAGAAGTGTAGGTGGGGAAAAAGCACTGGTCTCTGCTTCTGCCCTCTACTCTTCCATCATCCTCTTTACAGCCCTGTTAGAGCAAAGTTCGCAGCAACATATTTCCCCAGTATGATAGGATTCTCAATGAATTCAGTTGTGAAAACAATAGCTCACTTCTCATTCTTAGCATATTTCAGCCAAAAAATAAAGAAATGTAAGAAGGAGGACCAAAATCGAACCCTTTTAGTCAACAGAGAAGCCAAAGACACCAAACGATAACATCTTGTACCCAGCATTGCCTCTTCGTTGTACTGAGCAAGACTTTCTTTTTTTTTTTGAGATGGGGTCTCACTCAGTCACCCAGGCTGGAGTGCAGTGGCGCAATCTTGGCTCACAGCAACCACTGTCTCCTGGGTTCAAGGGATTCTCCTGTCTCAACCTTCTGAGCGGCTGGGACTGCAGGCACCCACCATCATGACCAGCTAATTTTTGTTTTTAAGTGGAGATGGGGTTTCACCATGTTGGCCAGGCTGGTCTTGAACTCATGACCTAAGGTGATCCACCCACCTCAGCCTCCCAAAGTGCTAGGATTACAGATGTGAGACACTGTGCCCTACTCAAAGCCAGACTTTCTAACGTGGGATCACAGCACAGTTGTCCTTGTTTGGATTCCCCTACCTACCTTCACATCTCACTCACATGCTGCATTTTCACAGCCAGGGCCTGTTTGCAGGTTTAAGCCCGGCAGGCAGGGTTTGGAAGTGATACAGCACACTAGTATCTCTGCTTTACCCATAGGAGACTGCCTTGGGTCCCAGCCAGGCTGTTAGTCCACAGGTATACCCAACAGTTCCAAAGAGACAGCAACCATCGAGAAGGAGCCATGATGACGATGGCGGTTTTGTTGAAAAGAAAAGGGGGAAATGTGGGGAAAAGAGAGATCAGACTGTTACTGTGTCTATATAGAAAGAAGTAGACATAAGAGACTCCGTTTTGTTCTGTATTTGAGATGCTGTTAATCTGTAACCCTACCCCCAACCCTGTCCTTGCAAGAGACATCTGCTGTGGTGACTCAAGGTTTAAGGGATTTGGGGCTGTGCAGGGTGTGCTTTGTTAAACAAGTGCCTGAAGGCAGTATGCTTGTGAAAAGTCATCACCATTCTCTTAATCTCAGGTACCCAGGGACACATACACTGCAGAAGGTCGCAGGGACCTCTGCCTAGGAAAGCTAGGTATTGTCCAAGGTTTCTCCCCATGTGATAGTCTGAAATATGGCATCATGGGAAGGGAAAGACCTAATCGTCCCCCAGCCTGACACCCGTGAAGGGTCTGTGCTGAGGAGGACTAGTATAAGAGGAAAGAAGGCCTCTTGGCGGTTGAGATAGAGAAAAGCCTCTGTCTCCTGACCGCCCCTGGGCAATGGAACATCTGGGTGTAAAACCTGATAGTATGTTCTATTTACTGAGAAAAGAGAAAACAGCCTTAGGGCTGAAGGTGGGCCGTGCTAGTGGCAATGCTGCTGTTTATGCACTAAAAAGGTTTATGGAGATGTTTGCATATGCATATCAAGGCACAGCACTTTTCCTTAAACTTATTCATGTCACAGAGATCTTTATTCATATGTCTTACTGCTGACCTTTTCCCTACAATGATCCTATTATTCTGCCACTTCCCGTTTTCTTTTTTTTTTTTTTTTTTTTTTTGAGACGGAGTCTCGCTCTGTCGCCCACTTCCCGTTTTCTAAGATGGTACAGATAATGATCATAAATACTGAGGGAACTCAGAACCGGTGCCGGTGTGGGTCCTCTGTATGCTGAGCGCCGCCCCTGGGCCCACTTTTTCTTTCTCTATACTTTGTCTCTGTGTCTCATTTCTTTTCTCAAGTCTCTCCTTCCACCTAACGAGAAACGCCCACAGGTGTGGAGGGGCAGGTCACCCCTTCAGGATCACAGCACAGTTGCCCTTGTTTGGATTCCCCTACCTACCTTCGCATCTCACTCACATGTTGCATCTTCACAGCCAGGGCCTGTTTCCAGGTCTAAACACGGCAGGCAGGGTTTGGAAGTGACACAGCACACTAGTATCTCTGCTTTACCCATAGGAGACTGCCTCCGGTCCCAGCCAGAAGCCTTTCTCTTTGTACAACTTCCTTATGGTTCAGAAGTAACAGGATTCTATTTAAATCAATTGGGATGCACCACCACCACCACCAACAACAACAAAAAACCCACTTTTTCTTTTCTTTCTTTTTTTTCTTTTTTTTGAGAGAGTGATTTTTTTAAATTGAGGTACAATTTACATAACAAAAAATGAACTATTTTAAAGTGAACAAATCAGTGGAGTTGTGTACATTCACATTCATATTGTACATAGCACATTCACAGAGTTGTGCAATCATCACCTCTACCTAGTTCCAAAACATTTTCATCACCCCACAATCAAACTAAAAAAAAAAAAAAAATCAATTTCCTCTGTTTTAATGGATTTACCTGCTCTGGATATTTAATAGGAATGGAATCATACAATATGTGACCTATTGTGTCTGGCTTTTTTTTCCCACTGAGCATTAGCTTTTCAAGTTCATCCATATTGTAGGAGGCATTCCTCATTCCTTTTGGACTGAATAACATTTTTAACAACTTGTAGATGAATAAAAATAAGGACTTATCCAATGCAGGCATTTGAGGATATAGTCACTGCAGTCAAGATGAATAAATGTCACAGTGGGAGGGAAATGAAGAGGAGGAGGGGATGTGGGAGGATGAAGAAAATACAGATTGAGAAGCAGAAGCTCCAAGCTGTTCTGCCTGCTGAGAAGAGTTTTTTTTTTTTTTTTCTCTCTCTCTCTCTCAGTATGATTTCCTCAAGAGAGCATAGGCCCCAGAGTCACAAAACCAGCTCTAGAGTCCTCATTCTGCCATTCACTCCTTACATGTCCCTGGACAAGTTACTTTGAGTGTTAGTCTCCACATTGTAAAATGGAAATAATAATACCTGTGCCCTCAATTTCAAAAATACTTGTGAGCACCAAATAAAAATTGTTATAAGCTATGAAGTGTGGTTGAAGTGGTAGTTACTTGTTTCTCTCTACAACTGCTCAGGGAGGAAGCCCAGCTGATGTAGGACCCTCCTTAGTGATGATTTCACCTCCTTATTCCTGAGACTGTAGATTAAGGGGTTCAGCATGGGGGTGACCAGATTATTCAGAATCTGAACAGTTGCATCCAACCAGGGGCTGGGGGTTGGCCTCAGGTAAATGAGGACCACTGGCATGTAAAAAAGCAGGATGGCAGTGAGGTGGGCGCTGCAGGTGGAGAAGGCATGGCGTCGGCCCTCGGCAGAGTGGATCTGCAGGATGGAGAAGACGATGCGACTGTAAGAGGTGAGGACGAGAAGGAAACAGCTGAGGGGCATGAGGCCCACGCTGATGAACCCCACCATCTCCAGGGCGGAGGTATCTGCGCAAGCCAGCTTCAGCATGACTGGGATATCACAGAAATAATAGTCCACCTCATTGGGGCCACAGTAGGGCAATTGGAAGGTGAGAGTGGTCAGAAAGGTGGCCTGAATGCAGCCAAAGAATGAGGTCCCCATGGCTAGGATGACGCACGCTCTGTGGCTCATGATTACGGTGTAGCGTAGAGGATGACAAATGGCAACAAAGCGGTCGTAGGCCATCACCGTGTACAGGAAACACTCAGTGCAGCCCAGGAAATGGTAGAAGAAGAGCTGGGATGCACAGCCTGCATAGGAGATGGCTCGGCTGTTCCCCGAAAGATAGCACAGCATCTTAGGGGAACTCACAGAAGGGAAAAATATGTCAAAAATAGACAGTTTGCACAGGAAGAAGTACATGGGCGTGTGAAGCCGAGCGGAGGAGACAATAGCCAGCAAGATGAGCAGGTTCCCCATAAGGGTGAAGATGTAGAAGGACAAAAACAGGACCAAGAGCATAGTCTCCAGACCCTCTGTGTGCGGGATGCCCAGCAGGATGAATTCGGACACCACCGAGAGATTCTTCATGACTGTGAAAACATCTGACCTTGAAAAGGTACCCAAGACACCCAAGTCTAAATACCAATGTCAAGTTCTCAAGCTTTTTGCTGATGAGTGCTTTGGCTATGTTTTTAACAAGAAACGAACTGCCTTCTTAGGAAAGGCAAGAGAGAGATCCATGTAAAAAAAAAAATCAGATAATAAGGAAATGCCTATTTTAGAGTCAGTCTATTCAACTCATGGAAGGAATGCTTTGTAAAGGCAGATGCTTGTCTTCTACAGGATGAGAAGTTTAGAGGCATATTTAAAACACTTCAACTTAAGTTAGAAGCCTATGTACCATGGATTTATTCTTTTTGAGCATATTTACTATTTGAACTCTTGTGATGTCTTTACATAAGAAACTTCTACTATCCATTGTCCTCTGCAACCTAACAGAAAAATAATTATGTTAGAAACTGGAAAACTTAATATGAATCCTGGCTTTTCCATTTATTAGCTATACTTGTTAAAACAATTTACATGACGTCTTTCATAGACTTAGTTTCATCATCTGCCAAATGGAAATCATACTTATTATAACATCGGTAACACAAATATCCTAGTATTAAAATTTATGAAGTATCTGCTAAAATGTCTGGCAAAACTATGAACCCTAATGAAAAGTTTTTTTCTTTTCTTCCATAAGTTATTGGGGTACAGGTAGTTTTTAATCACATAAGTACATGATTTAGTGGTGATTTGTGAGATTTTGGTGCACCCATGACCCGAGCAGTATACACTGCACCATATTTGTAGTATTTTACCCCTCGCCCCACTCCCACTCTTCCCCCCAAGTCCACAAAGTCCATTGTATCATTCTTATGCCTTTGCATCTTCATAGCTTAGTTCCCTTTATTTTATGTATCTTAAACTTAATTCTTAAGTACCTTCCTTTAATGTCTGTATCCTGTAACTATTTGCAAAAAATATTTTATTAAATAACATCATTGAATAGATTTAAGATTACATACTCTTCAGATTACATCTTTCTAGACTTGAAAGGTCAATGATCTCCAACTCCAATAAGAGATGCTGTTCTGGTTCTTCTGTTTCTAAGCCGACTTAAGATGACTGAAATATTGAGAAGCAGTATCAGCAAGGAAAGCATCCAATTCATGTTCCCGTAATGAAGTAAGAAATACAGTGATCCATGTAAAGAAAGGCAAAGAACAGCACTAATGAGGTAGTTTACATAAGTTAAGAGCAGAGTATAGCACCTGAAAGATTCAGGGATCTCTCATTACTCAGTAATAATAATGGTAATACACACACACGCACACACACACACAGACACACACACACACACACCATTTAATGAATACTTACTGTGTTCCAAGGACAGGCTCAGCATTTAAAAATGTATTATTTATTTTTAAAGTATACCTATAAAAAGAAATTACCATTATTATTGCTGTTCTTATCTATAGATAGGAAAGTGAAGCTTAGAAAAATCAAACACATTTCTCATGCTTAAAAAGCTAGTACGTGACAGATTTGTTTAATTCCATTTCCTGTGCCCTCAATCATTAGGCAATTGTGCCCTCTGTTTGCCTCTGCTTTCTAAGACAGCCTTGCTTGGAAAGGTACCCATTGCTTGGCAATGACACTCTTTCCAGATGCATTCACATCATTGCTTTATATTAAGGTAGGAAAAGTCTTCATGTCCTATTTCCTCCTGATCATTTCCAATCTTGACTTTAGAGCCCAATTGATAAATACCTCATTTAGTTTTAGAGATTACATAACAGGTATTTTCTATTCCTTTAACACTAGACCTTAGTATCAGCTCCAATTAAGGAGCTTTCAAGTTGCGGAGCCACATTCAACATAGGGATCCCAATCATAAGCTGTGGCAAGTGTCATGGAAAAGCATCTCTAAAGAGAATGACCAAGCCAGAATGAGTCACCTACATATTACCCAAGAACTCGGCAAAGTAAAGACAGTATAGAAACAGTGACATTCTGGGGAAGAAATGCTTCTGCAGTCTGCCCCTTGTTATTAATTCTAGCCTCACCTGAATCGTCTCTCTGAGCGACACAGATTCCCGTGAGCTTTCATCTCTTTGGTCAGCAAAGGCAAGAGGGAGAGCATCTGGTTCTTGCCTATGATCAAGCACCATGATATCCTGTGATTCCATAATTTGATTTTTAAGTCCATTTCAGAAAGAAGTCACCAAAGACAAGGAAGATCTCCATGTGTGAACCCATTAGTGTGTGAGGGGAAGAGGCTAACAGTGAGACATAGGTAGAAGTTTGAACACTCACACTGTCCACCTGAGAACACAGTCAAGTTTCCCAACTGTTATAACAAGATCTCACATTTACTTTTTCTCAGCAGAGTACAGTGTGCTCCAGCCAAAGGAGCCTTAATTCTCCTATTTATAAAGAATCAAATCTCATAGGATTTGTACAATCAAGACCCGTACACACTCACTCTCTCTGGATTGCTTTCTTGAAATTTCTTTTCAGAACCCCTTAAGCCCTACTTGGGACTCAGTGATAGCTCTGAGGGAGCAATTAGTTTGTGAGTAACATTCATCACCCAATCATGAGATAACAGTAATAATATCATTGGAAAGGGATACTCTAAAGTGGGAAATATGTTCCCCCAAGACTGTTTGCATAGTAGAAAAACACTAGTTTTAACATTAGATCACTTGCGTTGCTATCCCTTTGTTTGGTTGTCTGTTACACCTTCAAGTCTTTGCTCCAATTCAGATCAATATCATAAGCTCACGATTTCATGATAGTTTGTGTTACCACTTACCTCATCACTTTTCAAATTATCTATACATGTATGTGACTATATGGCTAGCTCTAATAAACATCACTATTCAAGACAGAAGCCTAATCAGTAGTTATTTATTATGCATCTACTATCATGATGTATCTTCACGTCATTACTCCTACAGAAAAACAGTCTCACATACTGGATACATTGCTGGGAAGATGACCAGTATAAATAAAGGAGCTATAAACCAAAAAACAGTCAACTAAACTGTTATTATTTAATTAACAATCCACTGTAAGCACTTACCATAAACTGTCATGCTAATATGTTTAATTCATTGTTACATTTAATCTCCAAATGAAACTTTAGGAAGTAGATAGTATTACTTGACAAAGAAACTGAACAACAGATTAAATAATCTAGAGATTACACAACTAGAAAGTAAATGAGCTGAGACTATAATTTCAAAGCCAATTCTTTTAAGCACTAAGCTATGCTGAATTACAGAGATTTGAGTCTTGCACCAAAAGAAGAGAAAGAGATTTAATGTGGTCTTCAAATGCTTGCAAAGCTGGTGGGTAGACTTGATAGGAGTTGTTTTACACAGACTCAAGAACCATGGGCAGATGTAGTAGAAAGATTTATTTTCAATGTAAAAAAGAATTGCTTAATTATTAGAAATTTTACATCAATGAAATAAGCAACCTTTTGACGTAATGATCTCATCACTGGAAGTATTCAAGAAGAGGTAAAGAGAATCATCTTTCAGGTATACCATTAAGGATATTCTCAATTTGAATGAATAACATGAATTCAAAAACCTTAAAGTTTTTTCTTAGTATGAAATTATTTGATTTTATTTCCACCATAAAACTTTTCAATGATTCTGACCTAACACCATACAAGTGGAGCTTTAAATTAATGATGATAATTCAACTAACCCCTAAAGCAAAAGCAATTATGAATATGCCCATAGCAGTTACAAAAGTAGTTACAAAGGTTACAAAACTATTACTGTTGTAATACCAAAGCTGTTGCTGAAGCATTTTTAAAAGAGGAGAAAAGCAGGTTGTGGAGGGTGTACAGACACTGCTCAGATAGAGGCTCAGAGGATGAACGTGATTTGTTGGGATGTCTTAGTAAGTACATCACATTTTAAATAATAGCTAACATTTTCTGTGGATTTGTTGTATACTGGAATTGCGATGAGGGCTCTATATTTAATATCTCTCAATATTTACCAAAAATTTATTTCTATCTATTTTTTATAGTAGAAAGCTTAATCTCAAAGACTTTAATTAACATAACCAAGGTAACAGAGTGGGTTAATGATAGAGTTGTATCTCAAATCCAGAATAATATGGCTTCTCCCTTTGTGTTATAAAGACAAATAAGTTTATTACTAATTTTGATTTTCAAATACTCATTAATAATTAATAGCGCCTAACATTTGCAGTTGTTCTAGTTTTCCAATACACTTTTATGTAGTTCTAATTAATTCTTAAGAGCTGTGTAAGGTGGATTTTCTTAACTCCACTTTACAAATAAGGACATTAAACCTCAGAGCAATTCTGGCTTTTCTAAAGTTAGACAGTAGAAGAGCCCAGGCATTCCCAGGTTTAGCTGTCTTTCCACTACATCATCACTGCTTCCCAAAGTGACTCTATACAGAAAGCAGCTGTCTCTGGATGAGAGACAAATTATTAATAGATTCATTTGGATATTTGGTTAAGCCTTCTGTATAACCTTATGGTTATTACTGTTTTTATCGTGGATTCCCTGACAAGATTATGGCATCAAAATATAATGAGATAGGCTGGGCATGGTGGCTCATGCCTGTAATCCCAGCACTTTGGGAGGATGAGGCAGGTGGGTCACTTGAGGTCAGGAGTTCAAGACTAGCCTGGCCAACATGGTGAAACCCCACCTCTGCTAAAAATGCAAAAATTAGCCGGGCATGGTGGCACATGCCTGTAATGCCAGCTACTCAGAGGCTGAGGTGGCAAAATTGCTTAAACTAGGTGGGTAGAGGTTGCAGTGAGCCGAGATCATACCACTGCACTCCAGCCTGGTGACAGAACAAGAGTCTGTCTCAATAATAACAATAAGAATAAGATAAAGTGTCAGAGAAACAAACAGAGAGTGAGAGAAACTTATTTAGCTCATGTTCTGTATCCTAGGGAAAAAGTCCCACTAGAAAGTTTACTACATATTTCTCAGAAGAGGTCTCTTGCCATGGTATGACTTGTGGGGAAATTTGCATTATATTTCCATCATCTTTGTTTAAGTCTGCTTAATTTAATTCCTTTTTTTTCCTACTCCAGGTATTCAAGTAAGTCAAGACATAGTCTAGCAACAACTGATTCCTCAACTAATCCTTCAGCAAAATTTTCTGTTTATAAATAGCAAGCTTAAGTCTAGGCATTCTTGATCCAATGACAGGTGCTTTGTTGTTTCTTGGCAGGATAAGGGTCTGCAGTGAATTGTCAATCATGTTTCTTCCTTTATCTGCGACAACCCAGTGGAAAAGCAGGCTGCAAGCCCCAAATGGAAAGGAGTATAATGATGGCTATTTATTGGGTGACACATATCTGAAGTTGCTATTTCCTTTTCTTCCTTTTGTTCTTCCTCCCTTCCTATCATTTTTTTTTTCCTGGTGGAAAAATTCTTGGCATCCTAAAAATTTGATGGTTTCTATGGAAGAGGTGTGATCTATCTAATGGAGGAATATAGAACTGAAAATATTCTGCATTTTTACTGGGGAGAGATGGGAATGAAAGCAATATCAGGGACTTGAATCCTTGGAAACTCTCTTGAATGATTTGGAATCCTCAATCATCACTAATTCCTAAACAAATTTCATGCTTCTATCTGATCCCACTCCCACTTTCAAAGCCTATAACCTGTTGGGATATAAGTCAGGTAACCATAACAGGTTAGAATACTGAACCAGTCCTTGGAATCAGATGGAGTAGTTCAATGTCTAAAATGAATCACTAGTTTACATCTCTCAATGGAAATGTAAGCCTGAAAGTATTTGGTGTCCCAATCAATATTAAGGCCATTTGGAACCAACTATCAGTTATTGGAGCTTCAGAAATTATTGAACCAAAATTCAGAATCTATGCCTTTAAACGTCACACCATGTCCTTTGATCATGCATTCTAATAGATATAGTTACAAGAGAATATTTTGATGTATTCCTCAGATAAACTGATCCGCCTGAACTACAGCTTCATTTTACAATATCTTCTTTGTTTAATGTGTGTCTATTTAGCCATGGACATTAAGAAATCACAACAGCAGATGTGCTAATTTTTAGTCTATCATAACTGATAGGGTTGTTTTGAATGTGTGCAACTCTATGTATCTTGTACCAGGGTGGTAGTGTCATTCATACATTTATTTACACCCGAACATTATGATAAGATGATTATTGTTTAGAGTAAAGATTTGGTACAAAATGGAAAATATGTAGCTGTGTATTAATTATATCTGTAACATTCATTTTAATGGTTTTATGTAATAGTGATTACAGATTCTCCCAAAACCAGATAATTCAGCTAATTTATTAATAAAGTATTATAATCTTTGTTTTTAATATTCAAAACAAGTAGCTATTCATATTTTTATTTTTAAAAGTAAAAAATAGTAATACTTTCAATCATAGAGTTTTTGTATGCAGTTGTAATTGCTATTAACTTAAAACAGATGGTTTTAACCACAAGATATTTTTATGAAAGTCTTAAGATAACCACAAAGAAAAGTCTCAAAAGATAAAGAGAAAATAATCAAACCAAAAAATAAAAAATCAAATAAAGGAAGAAAGCAAGAGAAGAACAAGCTCACCACAAAACAAACATAAATAATTAAGATGGCAGTGATAAGTCTTCACTTATCAATAGTTATTTTAAATGTAAATGAAATAAATTCTCCAATCAAAAGACACAGACTGATCATTTTTATTTGTCTATCGTACCTCAGTAAAGCAGAAAACATGCGTTAGCACCAAATGGGAAAATCCACCCCCATCATCCAGTCACCTCCCACCAGGCCTACCTCCTACCCTGGGGATTACAGTTCCACCTGAGATTTGGGCGGGGACACAAATCCAAACCATATCATGTTCGTTCAGCTTTTTCTTGTGGTAATAATGAGAATGGTGATTTCCAAACTCTTTGCATGTTAGAGTTGAAACTGGCCTCCATGTAGTCTGATCTACCAAATCTCCACACTTCACTGACCCTTCATTTACAGAATTGTACTTTTTGGAACTTACGAGGTAGAAAACTTTTTTTTTTCTATTGTCTATCTAAAGCTAAAAGTTTGTGTTTGTTTGTTTTGCACATAAACCAGTTTTTATTACTAAGTGATGTAACAAACAGACATCCTTAATGGTGAGATGTGAAAATGAGGTGAGGTGTGGGGAAGAACTCAGTAATGCAGTGAGGGTCTGTAAATAGACAGAGTCTCAGGGAGGGATGAGGGTATAATGTTAGGCAATTCTTCTTAAATAATAGTAAGCATAGTCATAAAGCTGAAAGTGGAATTGTATAGGAATACAGTCAGGCTTACATGAGATTATATATATATATATTTAAAACCTTTGTCAGATATCAAACTCTGTATGGAGTTTGGAATCCATGCTTTTTTAAGCCTTTATTCTACCTTTTTTTAAAAAAAAAGCTTAATGAAGTGTAGTTTATGTACTGTAAAATCCATTCATTCACTTTAATCGTTTTTTGAGGTATTGTAATATTCAGTAGATTTTTAGGGTAAAAACGCTTACATTTACAACTATAATATTCAAACTGCAGAAAACAAAAGACAAAGAGAAAATCCTGAAAGAAGTCTGCGGAGCGGAAGGGGGAGAACACTTTACCTATAGAGGAAAAAGAATAGCAGCATGTTTCTTGCCAAAAACTATTCATGCTAAAAGAGATTGAAGTAAAATATTTAAAGTGTTAAAAGACAAGACGGCTGGATGCGGTGGCTCACGCCTGTAATCCCAGCACTTTGGGAGGTCAAGGCAGGTGGATCACAAGGTCAGGAGATCGAGATCATTCTGGCTAACGTGGTGAAACCCTGTCTCTACTAAAAATACAAAAAATTAGCCAGGTGTGGTGGTATGTGCCTGTAGTCCCAGTTACTCGGGAGGCTGAGGCAGGAGAATCACTTGAACCCAGGAGGTGGAAGTTGCAGTGAGCCAAGATCGTGCCATTGCACCCCAGCCTGGGTGACAGACCAAGACTCTGTCTCAAAAAAAAAAAAAAAAAAAAAATTGACACACACACACACACACACACACACACGGAGCTATATGTTCAGCACAATTAAGCTTCAAAAGTGAAGAAGAAATAAGGACTTTCCCAGACAAAAAGAAAAACTAAGGGAATCCATTGCCCACAGATCTGTTCTACAAGAAGTATTAAGACAAATTCTTCAGGAAAAAGAAAAAGGATACAGGTAAGAAACTCAGATCTATGTAAAGAAAGGAAATGTCAGGGAAGAAATAAATAAAAGTGAAATGCATATTCTTATTAATCGATCTGAAAGATAACTGTTTAAAGTTATAATAGTAACAATTGGGTAGTTAAAATATAGATATAAGTGAAATTAATGGCAGTGATGTCATAGTGGATGGGAAGAAGGACTTAGGAATGCTCTGTTATAAGGTAACTGCACTACATGTAAAGTGATATAGTGTAATTTGAAGGTGGGCTTAAATTAGTGATAAATGCATATTGCAAACTCCAGAGGCACAACTAAAAGTATTCGTAAGAAACATGATGGATATATTGAATGGAGATAAAATGAGATCACATAAAATGCCTGGTTAAAGTGAGAAAAGACAAAAGTAAAAGTCAAAGAGAAAAATGCAATAAACAGTAAACAGTTGACAAACATGGTAGATATTAACCTAATTTTATCAATAATTACTCTAAATATAAATGATATGGGTAGATAATTTAAAAGTAGTGATTGCCAAAGTGGATTAAAAACAAACAAAAACAAATAAATAAGACCCAACCATATCATGTTTCCAAAAATCCACTTTAAATAAAAAGACTCATATAGGCTAAAAGTGAAGGGATGGAGAAAGATATACCCTGCCAAAATCAATCAGCAGAAATCTGCTGTAGTTACATAAATTTCAGACAAAGTCAACTTCAGAACAACAACAACAACAACAATCAGGGATAAAGTTGAGCATTAAATAATGATAAAAGAGTCAACTTTCCAAGGATGTATAATAATTTTAAATGTGTATGCACTTAGGAGAATATCAAAATATATGAGGCAAAAACTGATAAAATACATAGTTCACTGCATGGTTTTTTTTTTTTTTTTCCCCTTGGTTTTCTCCTGGTCAATCGATACTCCAGAAAGCAGATGGACTGTTTTTAAGGAAGCAACTGATGTGAGTTGGGAGAGGAAGAGCAGATGCTTAGTGACCCTGAGTAGGACTGTGTTAGAGTTGGGGAAGACAGGGCATGAATTTCATTAATAAGTCTATGTAGAACAGAGAACTCTCCAGGGGAGCTCCTGGGCTGTTTGAGTGGAAGAATCTTGAGGGAATGGTATCTGCCACTTTTCCTGTGGCCAAGTCTGCTGCTGTGGGGAAACAAGTACTAGATAAAGGCAACCAATGGGAGATGAGAACAGCTTCTCTCCTGGGCTCCTTGCCTGGACCACCAGTTTCTGAAATTACAGATGGCTCTTCATACTTTCCCAAAACATAAAGCATCAGGCTTGAAATGGGGTTTCAACAAATGTGCCAAAATGCCATTTGCTGATTATGAAGACTGACACTTGTTTAGATTCGAGGAATTTACAGTTGGCACAACATTTCATTGTGCAGGAGCCCAAGTGGAAAA